AACCTTCTCAGGGGGATCCCCTCATCTGGGACAGATGCTTTGCCAGGAGGTCAATCCGTCTGCATCTGAAAGAAAGTTAGGAAAAAAGTCAAAGTGCTGCAGGGTAACTTCACAGCTCCAAACACCTTCTGCCAACATAAGAATACCACCTAGACTCCAACTACAGCCCGTACGACAAGTCTCCAATTACAAGTGCCCGGGACTTGTCCTTAAACGCCTACAACCGGGCTGGGCAGCAGGGCAGAGCAGCTCCGGACCGAATACCCCCAGACACCCGTGACACGTGAGACGAGGGAGTGTCTCCCTGAGTGAAAACTCCCTGAGACAAGAAAGTCCTCACGAGGACCGAGAGAATGCTGAACGAGATGACCGAGGAGGGACCCCAGGCGAGCCTGCCGGGCTCGGATGACCCTGGAGGAAAAAGACGCTAACGGAACAACTATTTTCCAAGAACCGCAGAGACGGATGCCCGAGAATCCTGTGGCTGGAAGCCTCTGCCTGCCTTTGAATCGGCAGAAGTCCTTATCCACTGTAAAGAGACATTGCTGCATATAGCTGTTGACACAGCTGAGAACGAGACCTAAAAAGATCACGTGCTTCTGAAGACAGATGCGATTCTGACATGTGTCCGACCTCCCGAATCGAAGCTTCGCCGGCGTCGGGCCGAGGAACGCAAAGATGGGAGATGAACGGAAGGACCCCAGGGTTTCTCATAAGCCCCTGGGAGGGCTAAGGCAAGAGACACATTACACGAGATGCACAGAAGGCACAGAAGACACAGAAGGCACGCGAGACAAGTGACAACACACCCTGGGACTGCTCTGCCCTGCCCGCCTCAGCATTGCGAACCAAAGTGAGGCTTTCCCTCACTGGGGCCTATGGGGTCATTTCCAGAACCTCCCCATCCCCAAAGCTCACTCAAAAACCCAAACCGATCTCAGTCCCGACCGCCGCCCTGCTTTGATCCCCTCTGCGGGCTCCACTTATCTCTCAGAGGGCTGAAGATGTGAGTCACAGCGAGAGGCCGGTCGGGAGCCAAACAAAGCCACCTCGCTGTCTGTGAAGTTCTTCTCTCACCAGGCTGTTGTCTCAGACAAGTATCATCACCTATGATAAAGAAAACCAAATATAAGTGCACAATCTTAGTGGCATATTCACCAATTTCACTGCAAAAAAACCCAACTCCTACTCACCGTCTCTTAGGAACTCCCGGGTCCTCCGGCCACACATTTCGGCCACGCTCCGAGGCGGATGCCGTCGTCGCAGGGTACGCCTAGGATAAACGGAGAGGAGGCGATGTAGCGTCACTGAAAGTTGAGCGCGCCCTCGCCGCTCCTTCCAACGCCCCCGACTCGCCGTGACTCCTCGGCCACGCCTAAAGGGTACCAGGACCGCACCGACACGTGGACGAGGTCGAGGCTTCGTCACGGACTCGGTAATATTTGCTGGGGCTCACCAGAGAAGCAAACCGGGTCTCTTGGCAGGTCAGTGAGGGGGCCTCAGCACAGCATCAGGAGGCAGCCTAAAACACACCAACAAGCAGGGATGCTTGGAGTTGCACCAGAAACTGAGACCCCAGCAAGAACAACTGCTTCTCTCCACCAACCGAG